GGATTGGGTCAACTCCAGCCTGAGCAGACTTCTTTGGCTCATGGCTAGAGGGAATTCTTGGAGCCTCCTTAGTCCTAAAGGAGGCAATTCTGTCAAATTAAGGAAACTGTATTCTGTCTGCACTACTTCCTCTTACTCAAAGGTTAACTTTTAAATCATGCTCTTGTATTTTCTTAGTTTGGTGTTGGTGGGCCAATGACCATGAATGAAAGAAAAGTCTATGACTGGTAGGTCCCACCTTCTGATTATCTCTTTTGTCCTTTCTCTAACCCATCCTTTATGAAACTTCCCAAAAGAATGTTCCAAAATTTAAATCACAGCCTATCCAATACTTAAAATGCTTCAGTGACACTCTGCCCTGCCCCATCCCCAACTTTCAGAACATCTGAACTCCTTAGCCTGGTACTCCAGACGCTTCAGGGACCAAGTCCAGTCTCACATCCCAGTTACACACTTGTAATAACTCAAAAGCATTAAGTTTTTCATGTTTGTACCTAGGCTATTCTAGAAGTCCCTTTGCCCCTTGGTCTCCTACATCCTATTGCCTTGTACTACTCCCTCAGGAGATAAAGATGTCCTTCGATTTCCCTGTCACACCTCATTCACAGCACCCTGAGCCCATGTTTTTTTTCTGAATCCCCCACTAACTCCCAATTCCTAGCATTGTGCTGGGTACAGAAAAGGGCACACAAATATTTATCAACTTAATAAATCAAATGTGAAACCCTAGAGTCAATCAGCTGGCTATCATGACAAGGGGATGAGGCAGTGGAATTTGATCCCTGAAAGTTACCTTGCATACAATAGCCAGTTTTGTCTCTCTATCTCCCCATCCCTGTCCTCTCACCCCCTGGAGAAACTAGTGAGGTAGCTATCTGGAACAACAGAACCCTGTGGTCCTGAGGGAGAGCTATTGGCTGGGCAGACAGAGCTGCCTCATAGTGGAAGGGATCATCTCCGAGATCTTGTGCGGAGTGTGACAAAATCAACTGTGCCTCAGCATACCTGCTAATGGCTTCTCTTTTACTGCTTCCTTTTCCCAATGCTGGCATATAGACCCAAATGCAGATGACCCTTTCTAGGGTTAGAGAAATATATCCCATAGCCTTCTGCATGATATCTAGATTTCATACTCTCAGCTATTCCTTGACCCCAGGCCAACATTTTGTTTGAGTTCCTCTCCAGACATGCTCCTCATTCACTCCCTCTATCCCCAAAACATGCTGTCCCTCCTCCTCCAGCCCCTGGGATATGCCACCTAAATCATAGTCCTTAGCATCCCTTCTTATTACCTAACCCAGGGACCAACCCACATTGTGTGCTAGATCAGTATTACTTGTGTGTGAAGGAGTCCCCTGCAGGTCATTGTCCTTGCAGACACACTGTCTTCCTGGGGGAAATAAATGATCTTATCCAGGTCAGGTTCAGGGTCAAGGCTGAACTCTGCGTTACATGTCTTCCTAGGATTGTCTCCAAACCTTTGAAATACTTCATTCTCTGATTCTCACGGCATTACACCAGGGCTTTTCTCTTTTCTAAGGCCCCTTCACAGACTTCTTGGCTGACCTATCTCTTCTCCACTCTCTTACCTCTTTGCTCTTTTTCCTTTCATAAGCTTGGCCTTGGAAACCTCTCCACACACAAAATACCAAGTCTGTCTCACCATTCCTAAACTACGAAACTTCCAGCTCCTTCTTTTCTGAGATAATGTTCAGATTCTTCACCTATATGTAAAAGACAGCACTCACCACTATACCCAGCAGGCCTACCCTCCGTACCTCCCCATTTGGCTTTGCATTCAGTGTTTGATCTGTTTTGGTTTGTTTTGATGGTACTGGGGTTTGAACTCAGGGTCTTGCACTTTAAAGAGCTCTACCATTTCAGCCATGCCCCCATCAGCTATTTTTTTTTTTAAGATAGGGTCTTGAGATTTTGCCTGGGACTGGTAGCTGGGATTCTGTGTGTACCACCACATCCAGCTTGTTCTTTGAGATAGTGTTTCACTTTTTGCCCCAGCTGGCCTCAAACTTGATCTTCCTATCTCTATCTTCTCAGCAGTAGAGATTATAGAAGTAAGTCACTGTGCCTAGCCGTACTGGGGTTTTGATCTACCGGCCTCACATTTGCCAGGCAAACTCCACCACTTGAGCCATGACCCCAGCCTTTTTTTTGCTTTGGTTATTTTTGAAACAGGGTTTTGTTTTACACCCCGGTCAACCTGGACTGCAATCCCCATTTGTGCTTCCATGCATAACTGGGAGGACAGGCGTGCACCACCACACCTAGTCATTGGTTGAAATGGGGTCTTGAGAACTTTTTTGCCTGGGCTGGTCTTGAACCATGGATCTTCCCAATCTCTACTTCCTGAGTAGCTATGATTACAGGCTTAAGCCACTAAACCCATCTATGCCTTAAACCTAACTTGAATTTACCACTTTTGTTTCCATTACCCACATCCCATGCATACGTTACCACAATAGCTTTTCAAACAAAATAAAATAGAACACTTGAACAACCACGGCAAAGCAAGCACTATCCTCAGGTCTTTATATACTTTACCTTAAGCTTTCCACCCTTAGTTTATATCACTCTCACGTCTACTTTACATCAGAAAATGAGGTTTGTGCTCTCCAAAGATTAAGTACCAATCATACCACCGTGGTGTGGTCACAGAACTCCTAATGCCAGAGCCCACTGATCGGCAGGGTCTCCTGCAGGGACCCCAGCTCCCCTTTCTCTTCGTCTTTAATGTGTCCTGTGATCACTGCTGCTGGAAGAATACTCTCCTAACAGGGCACCATTTTGTGAAGCCCTGGCTCATGGAGGGCCCTTTATCTGATGTATGTTGCTTTGTGGACTTGCACAGATGCCGGCCACAGCACCCTCAGTTTAGACTTGTCAGCATGCTCAGACTCCCTTCTCTAGGGGAGCTCTGTCACCTACTCTGAGCCTAGCTGCTCCTAGACTGCAGTGTCACTTGCCTTTCAGAAAACAGTTCCTCCCTTCACCAGCCCCATTACTGGAGCCAACCATAAACAGACCAGTCTCCCAACCCTCTAGTAGCTATACAGTGCTCTTTTGTCCTTTCCCTGGTGAAGTTGGCTTCTGCTTTCTATTTATTTCCCCATACCGGGCAATGCCTTCACAATGCCCCTTGCCTTTCCAAACTGGAACTCAACTCCACATCATTTACCTATCACTAGGATTCATTGTAATGTATTGCCTAATATCTACATAAATAAGAGGACACGTGTCTTAGTCCATTTTGTGTTGCTGTAACAGAATACCTGAGACTGGGTAATTTATGAAGAACAAAAATTTATTTCTTGTAGTTCTTGAGACTAGCAAATCCAAGAATGAGGGGCCTACAGCTAGTGAGGAGGGCCTTCTTGCTGCTTCATCCCACAGTGTGAGAGAGCCAAAGAGAGAGAGAGAGAGAGAGAGAGAAATTCATCCTGCTATCCTGCTGTCAGGAGCCCATTCCCACAATAACCATACCACTTCTGTGATAACAGCATTAATCCCTACATGAGAGCAGAGCTCTCACAACCTAATCAGCTCTCAGCACTGATGTAATGGGGATTAAGTTTCCAACACGAGAGCTTTGGGGGCACATTCCAACTACAGCAGCAGGTCAAAGTGGTACCTTCCAGAACCAAAAGGAACCTTTCCCCAAAATAAATTCCAGTCTAACTATTAGAAAACACCACCTGCTTATTCCCACCTTTGCTAGACAGGCGCTCTATCACTTGAGACATCTCAGCCATTTTTCAGTTATTTTTCAGGTAGGGCAGTGTGGGTTTTTGCCCAGAGCTGGCCCCAGACTGCAATACCCCTAGCTATGCCTCCTGAGTAGCTGGAATGACACACACATGCACTATGCTGAGCTCATTTGTTGAGATGGGAGTCTTGCTAACTTTTTGCCCAACCCAGCCTCAAACCATGATCCTCCTGATCTTTACCTCTCAAGTAGCTGGGATTACAAGTATGAGTCACCAAACCTAGCAACATTATCCATCTTACAGGAAAATTTTCGACAGTCTATCACCACCTGTTTGAAAATATACTATTATATGTGATTCATGTGTGGGCAGACTTGTCTACTTAACAAAACCATAAATTTCCAGACCACATCTCTTATTTATCTCTCCTGTGGATCATCATAATCTATTAAGCAAATACCATATACTCAGTAAATAGTCCTTTATTAACCCATTTATAATTTTTAAGACCAGAGTTCTACAATCAAATGCTGATTCTTCTGTTGTGTTTATATGAGACCAAAGACAAATGATCTTAAGGCAGGAAATTACTTCTCTCATCTTAGTCACATATAATAAGCAAAGATTTCCCCACATCTTTCAAAATAAAGTACTAAAATCTTCTGTGCCATGGCACATTTTGCAAACTAGAGTTTGAGAGACACTTAAGTGGATTGAAAAATATCAAACAAAACCAAATGGTTGGCAGTAACTGTGATACAGCCACTGCTGCACCCTAAGTCTCACATGGTTTTCCAAGGAAGTGTCAAGTTTCTACTCAACTGTGAGGTCACTCACAACACTGTTAATTCTGGCAGCAGAAATGACCTCTTTGCTTTGCTGTCTCACTTTCCTATACAGTTATAAATTAAAATTCCAATCTCTGGTAAACACTTTGACACTGACTGTGTGCCAATACTAAGGCTCTTATTTCCTGTCCCACACTGAACCCCTTTCTCCACCACAAAGCTCAGGGCTCAGGATATGTCATTCAGTGTTCTGACAGACATTATGGTGGCAGTATGGAACCACAATCATTGCAAAAATAAAATTAGGACACTGGGAAGCTTTGGGGCATATTCACAAAAGTTCAGATGCATCAGGGCTCAAAATTTGAGGTGCAGCTATAATGTGGATTCTAGGTCATTATATAAAAATGACACATATAAATAAAAGTGTGACAAATAATTTATAGTCTTCTAAGAGCTTATGTAAACTAAGTATTTTTCTGTCTTACAGTGACCAAAAGTGAAGAAGTAAAAATCATTATGGTGAAACACTACAGAATAGGTTTAGATGAAAAATATGAAGTAACAAAAAAATGGTCTTTGAATGATCTGCAGATGATTGACGGAAAAGAAGCAGATACCGTAAGTGTTAACCTTCTCTAAGGGAGATGTAAGATCAATATACTGGAGATCTCTATATTCAATATCTTATTTCACATATCTTGGCAGGTACTAAGTGTTAAGATGACATTATCTTGTTCTTAAGTGGTATGGATTAATTTCCTGGGATGATATACTGGCTTTTTTGTTCTGCTTTTATGAGATTGAATTTGAATTTTGTTTATTACATTTAAAAGCATCTTTCCCAAGTTCCTCTTAACAGGTTAAACACAATCTACCAGTCAGTCCTGAAACCTGAAATGCCATTTTCCCAAAAATAATGATGTCACTGTTACCACTCTCTCTCCACCCCAATTTCTTCTTCAAGTTGTGGGGATTCCTTCCCTTTGTCAATAAGTCACTGTCTGCATACCTGTTCATCCTCCAGAAGGGTTGTATTACTTGGAAATTCTATAATCTTAGAGTTGGAAGGTGAGAAAGAGTGCATGTTCCAGCCTCCTTGCTTGACCACTTAACAGGTGGTTTCCCCAGTCTGTGTTTGAATTCTTCTGATGATGCCTCTTGAACTTTACATGTCTACAATGCCTAATACAGTACCAGCTCTCAAGGCTGAGAATGCCCAGTCAGCCCCATCTCTTATCCTAATACCAGATTTCACATTGGGTAAAGTCCTTCTCATGACTCCCTCCCCCATATACCCATTTGTTGTGGATGTAAATATGTTGTAGCCATACTTTGACCAACTGTATTTGTTGGGTTAGTTATCCTGTCTCCCCTTTGGATGGAAAGCTCCTTAAAGACTGGTGTCATGATATTTTTATTCTTTATCATAGTCTTCTGCCTCATCTTAGGCACTCAGTAAGTTTTTGTACTGTTATTTTTAAATGAATTAAAATTAAACTCATTGATTCTTCATCCTGATAACTGTCATATTCTTAGTTTGGTTCTTGCTCTAACATATCAGATCTTCTAATATCTTGATTTTTAACACCACTATAGTATGATATAGACTTAATAAGTTTAAGACATCATCCAAGTCAATAATAAAATTGGCAAAGCAGATAGAGCCAAATACATACCCTTAAGAAATTGGTATCTATCATTAGTACCACTGATAATATTATTACCTGCTACCATCCCATACTTAGTGAACTCTTATGAAGTCCCAGGAGCCAAGTGAAGCCCCTCCCATGTTCAATTTTATATCATCATCAACAAGTCCCATGAATTAGAGTCTATTACTGCTCCTATTTTTTGGATGACACTCAAAGAGACTAATTGGCTTGCTCAAGTTTACCTAGCCATTAAGTGGTAGGGCTAGACTTTACTCAGAAATCTACTAATTTGCTTTCTTTAGATTTCTTTAGCTTCTAGAAGTTTCTACATTCAGTCATTTATTAAAGATTTATAGTATACTAGGCCCTGCTAATTTTGGGAGGTACATTGGAGAATTAGACAGCCATAAGAATTTAATTCTGCTTTAACTAATGATCAATCATCTAATCTTTTTTTTTTGAGAGAGAGAGAGAGGGTTTCTATGCAGGTTGCTTTGACCATTCAATCCTTCTGCCTCAGCCTCCTGAGTGCCAGCATCACACACGTGTGCCACCATACCCTGCTAATCATCTAATCTTAATTTATACATTTTTCTCTTTACTAAAACCAAAATATGCTTTCTCTTATTACCTTGACTATCATCTAAGAATCCTGTTTTTAAAACTAAATGTGCTTGGCAGGACTCCTGTGTGGAAGGATGCTGGGTGCCATTGCTTCATGCCTATGTACTTACACGACATTTTTCTGATAATATATTTTACCTAAGTGTTAGACACAGGAAGTGGCTGGACATACTGTTGCATAGCCACAAGATGGAATAGTATGCAGCCAATGGAAGATGTGTTTTCAAAACAATACCTCAGAACATAGTTGTTCACCATTTAATAAGTCTTTTTTAAAAAAATCAACTGAACACAACACTTTCCTAAAATAGTATGTCAATTTTGTATATCTACTCTATCACATCATTGAAACCTAAATTTTAAATTTTAATACAAAAATACACATAGGCATATATATGTATATATGTATGTACATGTATGCAGGAAAAAATTGTACTTTGATAACAGTTATCCTCTGTGATAGGGCTATAAGTTTTGCAATCATTCTTTTCTTTTCTTTTTTGAGACAGGATCTCATAACTCAGGCTGTCCTGGTACTTACTATGTATACCAGGCTGTCCTGGAACTCATGATCCTCCTGCCTCCAATTCCTGAGTGCTGGGATTACAGGCATGCACCACCACACCTGGTTATTTTTTTTCATACTTTAATGCACTTGACAGATTTCTATATTGCATTGCATTTTATCAGAAATGCATGTCAGGTTCGCTAATCTTTAGTTCAGGAATTAACCATCCTCACCCAATTTTGGCCATATTTCTTTTCTTTTTTTTTATTATGTCCTCAAATATTACTGATGTCATAATTATTTTGTACAAGTTTGGCCAATGTCCAGGAATATATCCATCATGCCTGTCAACTTTGATTTATTTAAAGCAATTAGCTGTGTTCTATTTTTTCTTTACCTTTCTTAGCCTCTAATTCCATCACATTATTGATTCTTCCCTTTTCAATCTAAAGATCATGCTCTTTGATAGTGTACTAGATTTTTTTTTAAAAAAGAGGAGTGCAGTATTTCTGGTTTTCTTACCACTTAACAGCCTACAATATCAAATACCCAAAGAGTAGTTCTTCTATAGATTTCTCTTCCATGGATGAAGTAAAAATACCCTGACTCTTCTGGGAATTTCCACTTCTCTCTCTTGGAATTGGATCCTCAGGAGTAAGCATTAATATATTTTTCACAATGCTGATGATACAGCTGTTCATAGAGCAATTTCAAGTCTTAAAGTTGTCATCTTTAAAATGGAATGGAATTTAAATGGAAGTCAAATCAAAATGATTTGGTATTTGTGGACTAACTGTTGCAACAGGAGATAGGAATATGTTGCAAAAGATGGGGCGAGGCTCTCTGGGGTCTTGGTGCTTGTCCTGGCTATGCTAGTAATTATGTGTGTAACCTGAACTTTACTCTCTGGAAACTATTATCGCAACTACAAATAATAGACTATTAAATAATCTATGAGATCACCTCTTAGCGTCAGAATTCTTTCACAGAAAGAAAGAAGGCAGAAAAGAAAAGAGAAATGAAGGAAAGGAGGGGGAGGAAGGGAAGAAAAGAGGGGCGAGAGGAAGGAAGGAGGGAGGGAAGGAGATAACTGTGTCCTATGTGCATGCATGCCCACCTTCAATTATTAAGCTAATTAAGATTAATCCTCTTTATATCAAAAATATGAAATATATTTTCCATATAAGGAGGAAATGTTTGGCAGAGAAATCTACATAAGGAGAGTGGTTACCATCTAGCTATGGAATGGATGTGATAATCTTTTATTGAGATTTCTCTGCAGAATTGTCCTTCAACCTACAATGTAACAGAAAAAAACTATGAAGTGTGACTAGGGGAGCTCTGTCTTTAAATTCTATCATTCTTGTACAGTCTTTTTTAAAAGACTTGTTTTGTTTTGCTCTAAATTTTTAAGGTATAAAGCAAGGCAGTATTAATGTATCACAATCTTTAGGGGCAGAGCTGAGAAAGAGTCCCATCTTTTATTAACGTCTGGGCAGGCAGTTTAGATGATTGCTCTCATGTAAATTTCACAGCAACTCTATCTACAATAAGGAGGAAATGGAAGTCAGATCAGATAAGTAGGTTGCCCATGGTTGTATCAGGAGTCAAAAATATTATCTAACATTTTCCTGCCTCCTTGAGAACTTTCCTACTTGAAAGAGAGGTTGCAAATGCAAAAGTCATTTGCATTCTTACTACATGGTAATGAATTAATGCTCTTGTGTGGTTTGTCATTTAGGGTGATGTTTACATCCACATCTCCTTTCATAGGACTATTTCAAATCGATCCAGCACAACTGCAGTTGCCATGGATAAGAACAGAAAGACAAATAATGCAAAAACCCTCAATAAGCATTAGGAGTTGAGCAGATAATGAATGTGAAAGCATTTTGTAAATGGGAATGCATTTTGTACACTTTATAAATGTGAGGCATAGTTGTCACTGCTATTAATAACAGTACCAATTATTATTATTATTTTAATATCTAGTGAGCAAACATCACCATTAAAAATACAGTAAGAACCTAGAGCAGTCCAATGATTGGCAGCCTTTAGTAATTTGTCTGTTTCAGTCAAATGTCTTACAGGTCCTTGCTGTTACTGTCAAAAGTTATTCTTTGCTGTTAACTTCAAAGTCATGGAGCTTGTGATCTATAGTATACCAAAAGCTTATTAACCATTCTATATTTTCCCATTTACCTTTGAAATAGCACAAAGGACCAATCTTCTAGTAAAGAGAGAAACCTATTCTCTCCTCCAGAAGTCTGTAAATGGGTTTATTCTCTTCTTCTGTCTTGACCATCCTCTCAAATCACTGCACTGAGAAGACTTGGTAATTATACATTATATGACATGTTTTATTTGTATAACAGAAAAGATATAGATGCTTCAAAAATAATCTTTATTATTTTTTAGAAACAATTACATTTGAAGCCGGTAGCTTTGAAAAGCTCATTTGTAGGTTTTAGAAATATGTTTGGTACCGATATTTTACAATCAATAAACATATCCAAGAGAATGTGAGGGAATCCAGGAAACTACTTTCATGGCTACAAATTAAATCATGTCTCTCTTTCTCTTCTAGGACAATCCATTTTTTGATCTGCACTTCAAGAAAGTGTACAGTTTGGAAGCATACAGCTGTGCTTCTAAGTATGCCTTTGCTCGAACTGTAAATAAGCTGAATCATGCATATCTTAAGAAGGACTTACAGATTGTGAACTTTGATTCTACTTACATTAATGATGATTCCATTTGGTCTTCCAACAACAAGGATTGCTTGGTCCTCATGAGAATATGCTTTTATGCTTTCAATCTTGTGTGCTTGTCACTATGTCCCCTGCCACTTTGAAGATGTTCCTATATTCCTCCACCAATGTCCTATAAAAATGTTTCCCTAAGCAGCACTGATAGATAAAATTTTGTTTTTTCCCCTTCATTAGTGGTTATTATTTATATGAGAATAAAATGATGCTTTGTGAATTGCAATGAAATATGTTTTAATGCAATCACTGAACATTTGAGACTTTGTGCCATTGTGCTCCATGGTAACTTTGAAAGGAGTTGCATGGTTTTAACTAAATTAGTATTTTGCTAAAAGAATATCAAGAAGTACTTCTACAAACTAAATACATGGAAAGGGATCCTGAATTCATTGATAAGAAGACTTGATATTTTCAAAATATCAATACTACTCAACACATTCTGCAGATTCAATGTGATTCCTATCAAATTCCAACAGCTTTTATTGTAGAAATGGAAAGGTCAACCTCAAAATTCATATGAATTTCAAGGGATTCCAAATAGCTAAAGAATCCTGGAAAATAAGTACAAGTTGGAGAACTCACACTTTCTGATTTTGAAACTCACTACAGAGCTATTATAATCAAAACAACATGTTATTGTCATTAGGGCAGACAGAGGCCACAAGAGGACCAACCCCTCTCAAAAGGGAAAGAATAATCTCCCCAGCAGATGATGTTGGGATACTCAGATATCCACAGGCAAAAGAATGAAGCTAGACCTCTTCCTCACACCATATACAAAATTAAAATGGGCCAATAACCTAAATACATAAGCTAAACTAAAAATGTAAAATTTCTAGAACAAGATACAAGGGTAAATCTTAAGGACTTTGGGTTTGGTAATGGATTCTTATAATATCAAAAGCAAAAGCAACAAAAGAAAAATAAATAAATTGGACTTCATCAAAAGTAAGATCTTTTTTTTGCATCAAAGGACATTATTAAGAAAGTGAAACCTACAGAATGACAGAACATATTTGCAAATCATTTACCTGAAGAGGGTTTAATATTCAGGATACATAAGGAACACTCCCAACTTCAATAACAAAAAGGACACCCAATTTGAAAATGGGCAAAGGATTTCAATAGGCATTTCCACAAAGATGATACACACATGATCAATGTGCAGAAGACCTCAACATTATTAGTCATCAGGGAAATGCAAATTAAAACCCTAATTGCCAAGTGAGATACCACTTCACACCTACCAGGATAACTATTTTCTATTAAAACAAAAATTAGAAAATAATAAGTATAGCAAGAATTTAGAGAAAATGGAGCCCTCTTACATTGCTGTTGGGAATGTGAAATGATAAGACACAGAGGAAATCACTTTGACAATGTCTACCACAACCTGGTCCCAGTGCATAAGAACTGGCCCCAAGGAATCATGGCACCAAAAAGAGGCAGACAGATCAGGGATTGTATGGAGTTCAACTCACTGGGAACTTACTGACAGAAGGGTGGTACAGAGTGGCCACAAGAACAACTGGAGCTCCATAATTTGGGTCAGAAGAAGGTGCGGGATAAAAGTGACTTTATCTATGCTGAAATGTACCTGGTTTATCTCACACTGATTTCAAAGAATTGGTCACATTCCTGGTGCTGATGACACTAGGGACTGGTCAGAGTTCAGTTATAAAACTCCACATACTACCCTAATATTTTTTATGTATAGTATGATAGGAAACTATGCAGAAAACTGACCAGTGTTATTAGGGAGTAGTCATGGCTGCTACAACTCAAGATGGCGATGCTCAAGTTACGATGAATCTAAGCAGGCAGTTCTCAAAAGGCTGAACAGAGTTCCCAAATGCTCCAGCAATTCACTCCCAGGTACAGGCCCAAAGGAATTCAAAGCAGTGACTTGAGTAAATATGTATATATGGATGTTTGTAGTAAGTTGGCTTTCTGAGCTGTTTGCAGCATTATTCACAATACTAAAAGATGGAAATGTGTCTACCAAGAGATGACTGAATAACACAAACGTTTTATGGCCACATAACAGAATATTATTTGGCCTTAAAAGGAATGAAGTTTTGATGCATGCTACAATATGAATGAACTTTGTTAAATTAAATAATCCATACAGAAAAGGACAACTACTGTATTATTCTACTTAAATGAAATATCTGGAACTGACTAATTCAGAGACAGAGCAAGTGAGAAGTTAACAGAGACATGGAGGAGGGAGGAAGGAGGACCTATTTCTTAATGGTAGTAGTGTTGCTGTTTGGAGTGATGAAAAAATTTTGGAAATGGTGATGCTTGCATACCATGGTGAATGTAATGAATGTCACCAAATTGTACATTTCAAAATGGTTAAAATGAGGGCTGGGGATGTAGCTTAGTGGTTGAGTGTTTGACTAGTATGCATGAGGCTCTAAGTTTAATTTCCAGTGCCACAAAAATTAATAAATAAAAGATTAAAATGGTTAAAATGGCAAATTTAATTCATATATACATTACTACAATTTTAAAAATAATGTAGTAAATAAAAAACCATTGAACTGTATACTTTAAATGGGTAAATTGTATGACATATGACCCATATCTCAATAAAGCTGTAAAAAAGTAAAAACTGACTACCTTAAATCTACTAGAAGTACTTCATATGTACACATAAGAATAGAATAATGAAACCTATTAAACTTGTTTTAAAAGTGGGGAGGAAGGATAAGAAAGAGTAATAGAGAGGGAGAATTTAGCCAAAGTACATTATATTCATTTATGGAAATATCACAATTAAATCCTTTTGTGCAATTAATATATGTTAATTTTTAAAAACTGCATGAGCAGAGATAATATTAACTACATAAAAACATGTATGAAAAATCTATAAAGTCAAAGGACAAATTGTAAGCTAGAAAAAACTCACAACTTATATAAAAACCTTTTAATATCCTTCATATAGTATGTTCCTACATTTGAAGGATTAAAACAAAATGCTAACAGCCCAACTGGCAAAACATTTGAACAGACAATTAGAGAGAGTGAATCGCAAATGACATTTAAACATGTGAAAAGTTGTTCAATCTTGCCCATGATGAGAGAAAATAAATTAAATCTATGGAGTCATCTCATTTTTCACCTATTAGATAGGCAAAAATCTCAAAACTTGACAATATTTCATCGATATGGGTAAATAACACCTCTCATTTACTACTGCTAGGGAATGGAAAATGGTACAAATTCCCTAAGAGAGGAATTTGACGATATTTTTTCAAAATTGCATATAGATTTAGTCTTTGACTTGGCTATCGAATTTTATTTTTAGGACTCTATAGCAAAGACACAATGACACATGCACAAGCCATGCAACATTTACAAAAGCAAACTATTTAAAAGAGCTTGAATAGCCTTCACTTGAGAATTAATTGAATAAACTACAGTACATAAAACAAAGTTCTGCGTGACAATAAAAAACAGAAGATACGGAGGGCTTCTGGTGTGCCCTGATTGGAGGCACGATTAATTAGAAGCAAGGCATTCTTTGTGATTTGTTAAGGATGCATATTTGCCTTCTTTAATTTGGCCCTAAGTTTTAAGAATGTACAAAAAATTGGAGAGGAGGTTAATTATTAAGTCCTGGCCATTTGGGGGCCCATTGCTATAGGATTTTTCCTGGCTGTGAGGACTAGTTGTTATGGATAGGAGTTTGACTTCATGGATGAGTTACTGCACAGAGTAGGTTGGTTCCTAAGATGCTAGCTGTGGCTTTTATTTTTATATACAGTCTGGACATTGTTTATATATTCAGAAATATCTAGATTTGTCCACGGATAGCTTGAAGCAAAGACATCCGGAGTAATAAGCATCTCAACATGCTTGAAGAAATTAAGCAACCCTCTTTTCCTTCAGTGGGAAGGGGTATTTAAAAGACCACCTTATTTTTCAAAGGAGAAGTTTGTGCTAGTGCATTGCTATTAATATTTATAGTTAAAATTTAGTCCTACAGGGTTTCAACTTCTTCGATTTTATACTTTTATATTCTTTCTCTTAAGCTTAAAATCTTGGTTCCTAGTGATATTAACACAATGACATATGCTTTCTCTACTGTGCTCCCATCATAGTGCTGAAATAACACTCCTCTCTCACTCACCACAATTATGCTTCTGAGTAGGGATTTTTTTAACACTTCCTTATCTGGCTTTACAGGATGCTCTGGGCTAGTTGCCCCCTGCTCCAACCCTTCCCAAGGCACTCTGTCTCCTTTTATAACAGTGATACTTCAAAATCACCTTCAACCTTTATTTGGTTTCATGGTGTATCTTTAAATGCTTTATTATGAAAAATTCCAAATATACACAAACATGGAAAGACTGGTAAAATGAACTCCTATGAATTCATTACCCAATTTCAATAATGACTACTATGTTGCCAATCCTCTCTATTTTTTCTTTTGTGGTACCTAAGATTGGACCCAGGGCCTTGCACATGTTTGGGAAGCACTCTCACTGAGTTGCATCCCACCCTACCAACCTCTTTTTTATTTCTATTTTTTGGACAGTACCGGGGTTTGGGTTTGCCCCCCTTTTGCTTTTAGTTATTTTTCAGATAGGGCCTCACTTTTTCCCTCAGGGTGGCTTCAGACCCCTGTCCTCTTATCTATGCCTCCCTCATAGCTAGGCATGCACTATCACGCCCAGCCACAATCCTGCTTCTAACTGCCTTTTCTCTTCTAATCCCCCACTTCATGCCATGTCACCAAAAATATCTAAGAATTTATCTTACCTAATTCAAAAAGACTTTAAAAAATGCATGCCACATCATTATCACATTGAACAAAGTTCACAGTCATTCCTCAGTCTACAATGTCCTTCAAATTCAAATTTCCTTGACTCTTTCAAAACTGTCTTTTTAAGAAGGGGACTAAGGTAAAAAGGAGAAAACTGGGGGTAATTAGCAAATTTGGGTTATAATACATATATAATACATGGAAGTGTCACATAAAACTCCCTGTATCTTAAACAAAAAAATGTCTTTCTTCCAAACTTGAGAACAGGAAGGTAAAATAGGTCCTGTCTGGGGGTTGGCACTAGTGGGAGGGGTG